AATATGTTCATCCGATTTGTATTTGGGTTTTGGGTAAGGTTCAAGACTCGTCTGCCCTGGTGCCTTACTTTCTGGGAGAATTGAAGAGTTTCGTTAAATTGTTTATTTAAAAGCTATATATTTTTACTCATGTGAAATAGGAGCTCAAAGTTCCACATTTCAGATTAACAGCAAAAATGCATGAATAAACAGAATTAGCACATAAAACTATTATGCTAACAATGGACTATGAAAAGGATCTGATGTGCTTTAAAAATACGCTAGCCATTGCTTCTTCTGACTATTTTTATTGAGTTATGAAATAATTGATAAAGGTTAAGATTTTTCATTTAAGGGCTAAGACTTGTATAAAAAAACGCATTAGAATATAAAGACTAATGAGTATACATCCTTTTAAAGCGAGCTGATAACCTTTGTAAATGCACGTGCAGTTTACAAAACATTTTCACATGAATGAACTTTTCCAGTATAAGCTCTTACCGGCCACACTTGATAATACAAAGACCAAGTTATTTTATTCCGACAGCCCTAGAGTATGGAAGAAAGGATGGAGATATATCCCTTTTATATACAAGGAAGCTGAGGCCCAGGCATTTTATGAAGCTTTTCCAATTGCAATTCTAGAGTAGCAGAGCTGGACTAAGTGGAAACATCAGAGCCTTGTCCACCACACAATCCTGCCTTTCAACCAGGTGCTTGGTAAGTACCTGGAAAGTTACGCTGCCTTGAAACCTTGAGCAATTTCTTTGCTGGTGTAGAAAAAGACTGTGGAGTCTCTCTCTGACCCTCCTTTGATCATTAAGCCATCCATTAACCCAACTCAGCTATCACCAGTATCTGTAAATGACTCTAAAAATCAAAGCACACAAATTTGTCACCAGGTCTCTTGCCATCAGGTATAAAGTAAGATTAAAAACCTTCTTGAGCTATAATAGCATTACTGAAACAAAAACAAAAACTCACCAGATAATTCCTTTGATTAGGAAACTGTCAATGTATTTGTACAACTGAAACTTCCCTGTCTATTTCTGTCTCAAGGTCAAAGGGCTAATGAAAGGCTGGAAAATGAAGATCAGCTTTATGGGAACCTGAACACACAGAGCATGCAGAACCAGCTTGTTTATATACCATTTTACTTCCAAAATGGATTTCATCTAGCTCACCATGATATGATGCATAGAATATAAGAATTGTTTTAAAGGTGGGGGCGGGGGAGGATGGAGAACTGGAAAAATACATGCCTGAATGCATATTCCTGGCTCTCTCTCCCCTCACAGTCTTGGTGAGGCAACTGACATACATAAATACAGTGAAGGTGCACGTGCGTACCTGTGAGTTTTATGTTTTTGTTTTGTTTTGTTTTGTTTTGATGGAGGGGAAGTAAAGGAAGTTTGGGCTAATCCATGCACAAAGAAAGAAAAGTTCCAAAGAGACTGAGGCTTTAGGTTCTAAGGAAGTTTATATTGGTAAAAGCACATTTGGGGATGCACTGTTGGGGACAAGGTGGTATATAAAAAAAAGCTGAGATCTCGCAGTTGGAACGGAGAAAGAGACCTAGGACTCCAGAACCTGGGTCAAAGTCCACCATTCTCTAGAAAGCCTAAGAGGGGCCAGCCAGCCTGGCTAGAGTAGAAGCCCAAGCGCTCCAGGAGGAAAGGCTTCTGCCTGTTTGCATGCCTGATTTTAGTAAAAGCAGCTGTCTTGGATGATGCTGGCACACTCATTTTGGATATTCTAGACAGACTGTGTGCAGAAATCTATGTGATTTTATCTTAAAGCCTGGCTTCCTAGAAGTAGTAGCCTTGTGGTCAGAGTAGTATATTATTCAGTCAGTGGTTGGTCAGGGTTCTGCAGGAGACCCTAATGCAGTAAGGCTTTCAACAAATGTTGGTGGATCCCTGGGGAGAGATGTTTCTAAGTCTGCCCCATGTCCTGGTCTGATGATCATGAGTGGGCGTGGCCAGGGGCACTTAAGCACAGCCTTCCCAACTTGCGAAACTGTGATCCCAGGGGATCTTTCTTCGGCGTATTCTTTCCTTGTTCTCTCAGTACTACTTCTTTCATTTTTTTTTCTACCAGAGGGCATGTGTACTTGCCAGAGAGACAAGAGACAAGCGAGAGCGAGCGCGCGCGAGAGAGAATCCCTCAATGGGGTATGGTCATACCACAATCCTTCACCTTCATTTCTCTATTCTGTCTGGATTTAGGGCATGCACACATATACACTCGGCATGTTTTTCTAGCTGCTGAGGTCAAATTCACACATACTTTGGGGTCAGCCATGTGGGTTCCAGATCCCTTAATCACCAGGCTATGGGGTGGCCTATGTGCAACCTCTGATTGCTTGGGTAGTCTGCTCTTTGTTGCTTTATCTGTGAAGATCTTCTCAATTGATCCCCACTAAGACCTGCACTGTTTTCTAGCTGCTGAGATCAGATTGCAAACCTTTTGCCATCTCTGCTTATGATAATAACATGAAAATAACATGACAATTAATGGCTATCCATCACGAGTATTAAGCATCTGCCATAGATTATTTCAGTTAATTCTCACCTACAAAATAGATACTGTTATTTTGGGATTATGGTATTGTTCCAAGAGCTATCCCACATGAAAGGCCAGATTCTGATTCAAAGGCCATGAGACTGAGGTCACACTGCCTTCCTACACAGAACTGCTACTGACTGCTGCCCGGGTTACACGGGACTGCTGAGAAAATGGTATGGAGACTTGTTCCTTTAGGGAAATGTCAAGTGTTTCATATGATCCATTATTCTTATTTCTACCTTTGAATTTCATAGATAACTATTCAGTTTTAAAGACAGCTTTTTGCTAACAATTTTGTCAGAAGCCAGTAATTTTTTTTTTAAATAAAGTATTAGCCATAGGGTGCACGTGCTCTCCTAAGACAGAGTCAGAGAGAGAGAAAGTGAGAAATTAACCCCCCAGGGAGGATGGTCATGACACAATCCCTTCTCCTCCATTCTCCTCTCAAGGTTCTGGGCACACACATGTGTCCAAGATGATTTTCAAGCCATCAGGTCCAGGACTCAAACCGTGGTCGACTATGTAGGGAGTTTAGTGCCTTAACTACTATGCCATCTACAGCCCCAGTATTTTTTTTCATCCAACTAACAAATTTCTGTTTATTATCATTTAAGGTCTTGGCCTCAGGTTTTGCTTGTCATAGAAACTGGTCAACTGTGTTTACCAATTTGCCTCAGATAGTATTTTATATAAGCTTGACAACTACTAAATACATATTATCTGTTCACAGAACATAAAGGATCTTTCCTAATAAAGTAATGGCCACAAACTTCTTAAATAAACATTTCTCCCCAAGAGTTATCACGTTTCTCTTCAGAGAATATGACAGTTAATGTTATGTGTCAACCCGGCTAGGTTATGATGCCCAACTTTCATGTCATCAAACACCAGTCAAGATGTTGCTGTGAAGGAAGTTTTTAGACACAATTAACATTTAAATCTGCTTTGAGAAAAGTAGATTCCAAGCCAGCTGATGGCACAGCAGTAATGTAACATTCTGCAATGCTAGACACAAAGGACAAGGTCCCAAGTTTCCATCCTGATGCCTCCCTGTACATTCCTGGTGTACACATGCCCATGATCCAGACTAGCTGAGGCTGTGAGTAGATCATGCATGGTGTAAGGATCCTATTGAGGGGTGCCTCTCTCTCTCTCTCTCAGAAGAAATAAATAAATAATCTTAACAGCAGGGAAAAAAATGTAAATTCCCATTTATTACATGGTTGGGCCTCATCCAGTCACTTGAAGGCCTTTAAGAGTGAGGTCTCTGAGTGGGAAAGAATTGTGTCTCCAGACTGCTTTCAGACTTAAGATTGCAATATCAACTCCTGCCGGGATTGCGCGCCCTGCTAATTTTAGACCTGCCAGCTTCTACAATCATGTTAGTCAGTTCCTTAATCAAATAAGCTCTCTCTCTCCCCCTCTCTACTGGTTCTGCTCTTCGGGAGAACCCTCATTAATAAGGAGAGAAAGGAGAGGAAGAGATAACTGATGCAGAGAAGCAGGAATGTTTCTGAGGTACTTCTCTATGCTCACGCATGATTGCAAACGTCCATTTTGGAAGTGAAGATATACCCATGTTCATGGATTCCCACCTAAACTTCACCTTTAAATATAAAAATTCAATAGTTTTCTAATTTTTAAAAATTTGCTGTAGGGTATGTGTTTTCAATAGTGGGATGGGAATAAAAAAAAAATCAACTCCCAAGGAGATGACTGCATTGCAATACTTTCTCTTCCATTCTCCTCCAGAGATTCTGGGCACGCACGCACACCCACCATATGTTTTTTTTTTTTTTTTTTTTTTGGAGAGATTTTCACTGTAGGGCGCATACGCTCGCCAGACAGACAGAGAGAGACATAGAGACAGAAAGCGAGAAATCACCCCCCAGGGGGGATGGTCACGCCACAATCCCTTCTCCTCCATTCTCCTCTCGGGATCTTGGGGACGCACACACACGCGCCCAGTGTGAGTTTTAAGCCACCGGGTCCGGGACACGAACCGTGGTTGACTACGTGGGAGTCCAGCGACATAGCCATTACGCTAACTGCTGGTTCCCCACCATATGTTTTTCAGTTCACCAGGTCAGGACTCAGACCATACAGTCAGCCACACAGTCACCCAAAACCACTGCCACCAGCTGGCTCTGACCTTTTTTTCTTGAAACAGGTTTCTGTTACCTTCCTTGTCCTAAATTCTATTTGAAAGAGAAGGTGCTAGGCTAGTCACAGTAATTCCATACTTGAGAGAATTATACATCATCTAGAGTCACAAAAATAAAAGTCAGAAAATCATTGTGGAATTAAAGTACACTATTATATTAGATTTCTTTTTTGTTTTATGCTTGAAAATGAAAGTTATAGTAATAATTGGTTCTCTGAGATGAAATACTGAGCACTTCACAAATCTTTTCTAAGAAAAAAAACTACATTAAAGAAAAGAAATTTCTCACCATTTATGAGTCTCTGTCAGTGAATTCTCTTCTGCTTCTTGATCAATTTTAGCTGAAAAATGTAAGAATAAAGTTATGAAATAAATTATAAATAGTACTGTCTTAAGTTAACCATGACATTAATACAATATTTATTTTAATTGATTATTAATTCAACTTTACTCCAACCACAAGCTTTTTAAATATCTATGTCATGTATATTTCAAAAGATTATATTTAACTAAGCTGATATAAAGACACAGATACGGTATATTGAGTAACCAATCAAAATGTTCTGATTCTAAATGATTTCTTTAAATCAGCGATACTAATTAATCTGAGACTAAAACACATATTTAATATTTACATTGAATGTGTCAAAATTGAGATTCCATTAATTAGGTGAAAAAAAATTCTCTCAAGCAAAGGTACAAACACCAAGTCAAAACAGTGAAACAGAAATGGCATGTGGCTCTCTTTAGTTCTGGTATGAATTTTGAACTGTTTTTCAATGGTGCTCTCTGCAGCAGTCCACAAGTGAACAGAACATTATCTATTTTGAAAGTAGAAAGAGGGATAGTATACCCATTTATTTGCTACCGTATTTTTGTCTAAAAATAAATAGCAATCTGTCACACACCTAAAGATCAAATTTTAGAGAGTAAGTCAATATTTCAAATTGCTTAAAATAATAGAGAAACTCTATCACATACAATAAGTATGGCAATCACATTCAAGTTTCTTTTGCCAAGTAAGCATTCTAGGAGTAGGTATTATTCCACATCCATCCCTCTGCCCACCTCAATACACATACATTTGGCATGAAAGTTTTAGAAATATTCTTATGTCATACAATGCTCTCTAATATTTTTAATCTACTGTATTATAAAACATGAGTTGCAACCTGCTAAATTGGTTTCATGATTCACTAAGGTCTGTGATTCATGGTTTGAAAATTACTGATCTATAGGACAAAAGGCAAAAATAACAATTAAAAAAAAATCTTGGAGCTTCTGAAAGTTGTCTTTTAAAAATCATTCCCTATTGGGTCACACTTGTAGCCATTTGGAGAAATTAGAAGACAAAATGGAACAGGGAAAACCGATTATAAAAATTGAAACCGCACAAAAAGTAAAACTCATGGAACTGTCAAAGTGTCTCTATCACTACTTAAAACACAATAGTACAGCTTGGGCTTGTTAAAGTTTTACAACCTCAAGACAGTGCTTTTTCGAAGTTCTGTACACTATCTGCAGAGTCATAACTAAATGTCATACTGCCCCTCATTGCCAGGATTGTCAGAATTTAAAAGGGATTATTTAAGTTAAAGGCAGAATTTCTTTTTTCTTTTTTTGTTTTCCCTCATTGTACTTAAATCATTTACATAAACTTATACATCAATCATTAGCCAAATTAAAAAACAGAATAAATGTTCCATGATGTTACTTTGAAAGGGTTCCATCCAGTATGAAAATGTTGTCTTACGAAATCAGCTCAGGGTTGTCTAGCTAAAAACTGATTTGCTTCCCGAAACAATTCTAGAACCACATAAAATTTGCTTAAGGGCGAGTACCAAAATGCATACTGCTTTCAGGAAGAATATTTGTCCTATTGCCCTCTTATTTTTTTTTTCTTTTTAAAATACAGAGATTGAGACTGAGATTGGAAGAGAGAATTTCTAGATTATTTTAGAAAATTAAGTGATTTGTGAAACTTAAAACACACTAGAATGAGTTGCCAGAGATCTGTCTTTTATTTATGATTCTGCCACTAAAGTTAGCTATGTGACCTTAAGCAAACAGATCAAACTTAACATATGCAAAATATGTAGCACAGCATTTCAATAATTAGGAGGGACTTAATAAATAAACAAACATTTTTTGAATGTGAAGATCTTAAAACTCTTAAAGTGATATATTATCATGTTTAACTGAGTAAGTCAGCTGCTATTTTATTATGTTTAAACATTTGATGCAGATAAAGAAAACATACAGCTTTCAAAATGCATAAGCTCCTAAACTGTGGTGACTGGAATAAAGTGAGTTTCATTTGTGCATAATGATTCCTTTTGAAGTGTACCAAAACAGCTTTAACTTCATAGCATGAGCAAGTTTGGCTGATAAAAATACATTTTAATGCAATGCAGCAGATGACCAATTCTTACCAAAGAAACAAAAACATAAAAACAAACTCTCTTACCAATCCTAATATCCATATTGCATTAAAAAAGCCAAATTGCAATAACAGAGAATACTTAAACATGCTCTATCATCCACTATTTTTACATGGTTTTTAAGTTAAAGTAGTTTGTGTATTCAAACTAATCAGCTTTGATAAACAGTCAAATGAGAGATCAAAGAAAATACATTTAAGTATATATTCCAACTCTTAATGTAGTCAACAATTCAACAAACTGAACTGATTTTTCATTGTATAGCAAGCTTATAAAAAGATCTTTCTGAAAATTTGGAGTGCAATTATGTTTTCTGAGAATACTGAGATGTCATTTTCCAACATGCTAGTACCAATACATCACCATTAATGTTTTCTTTAAAATTCTTTTAAACACACTTACGTTATTAAGCTAGTGACAAATGCAGGATATAATTGCTTTAGGTAGTGAAGATGAACCTACCAAACTGAAGTAAAGTGTAATTTAATCAGTGAAAACTATGATATTGTTTAGGAATAAAGTTAGAATGACTGCCATTCATTTAGAGAGAATGGGAGCACATGTAGTGACCAAAATATTAAACCAGCTTTGATTTTCTGTTTGAGTAACACCTTTGACACCATGTTACATGTACAGACTTTCAAGCATGCCTTTGATGAAGGTAGCATAGAAAATAAGGTGATTTTCTGTATGTAACATAAACATCTCATTAACTATGTTATTTCTTGACATATTTTTCCAGAAATAAAATTATATCCCATTAATTTCTAATGGTATTTACAGCTTTGTGAAGCATTTTGAAGGCAAGTGTTGCTTATAGCAGGGATTTTAGACATATTTATAATCGGCTGTTAACAAGCTTTATTAAAATAAACTATGCTAAATTAATTGAGACAAGATATATATATTAAAAAAATCAGTATTGTGTGACAATATGGTTAACTAGAGACAATCATTATGGTATCGCTCTGGAAAACACCAAAAAGTTTTTTGCCTATACTTTGAGCAGAGGAGTGAGGTGAGACTGATGAAATACGAAGGGGAAAAAAAAAAGACTATAGGAAGCTTCTGAACCACTGAATCTCGGGTTGGAGATGTAAAGAAGGAGCCAATGAGAATGAGTTCAGAGCCCTCTCCCCAATGGGGGAGAAGGTGAGGAAAACTCTCCTTTTGAAACTCTGAATTTTCTACTTTCACTTCAGACCCCAATATTCCCCAATTACACGAAAGCAACAAAACTGGCATAGAGCTAACTAATACGAAATTATATAGATATATTACCTCAGAGAAATACTGGACTCCCTTTCCCTCAAAACCAAAAGCTTAGCACCACCTTGAAAACTAATCTGCATGTAGAGAATATAACTGAGACCAGGCATTCTGCTGTCTCTACACTAGAGGGAACAGAGGGTACAGTACAGAGGAGAGGATGACCTGTATTTTAGAAAATCAGGATGAATACCTGACTTCAAAGTCTACCAAAAAACAGAGACCAAGAACTCTGTCCATCCCTTCCCAGTCCCAGAACATGGCCTACAAGAGCACCCTCCTAAGAGGCTGAGGAGTCTGGACATTTCTCTTGACTGGATGGAAGGCCTTCTCTGTCCCTCTCCTCATACTCATACCTCAGGGATGGTTCCCTGTCCCCTCTGTAATCCCTGACAGCACAGCTTTTCAGTAACTCCCTGGATTGTAAGTGTGAAAGAAAAAATAAAAAAGAAAGAAAGAAAAAAAACAAACAAACAGAAAATGGGGGTGGGGGGGCATCTGACAGTGAGGAGGGTGTTAGGGACCCCACCATACAGTAGAAGAGAGAGGACAGAGCATGGCCACAGATCATCTCCTAGCCCTAAAGAGGACAAAATCATGCTACCCAACTCCTAGCTCAGGCCTGCTCTGGTCAATTAGGCCCTATCCACCCCTGGGCTTTGCAGGCAAGCTGCCCAGGCTGTGTAATGGCTCACCAGACTCTGTCCTTCTCTGGTCCTCATCTTCCCCTTCATTCAGGCCACTTCCAGGCTATATGGGCTACCCTGACCTCAGGTTTTGAAAGCCAGCTGCCCAGATTCTATATGGACCGAATTGACTCTGTTTACCTTTGGCTCTCACAGCTGTCCTCACCTGACTCCATTTGGGCCTACTCAAGCCTGCTTGGCCCTATTGACCTCTGACCCTAGCAGGCATACCACATTTCTTTCAAAAAAAAACCACAGAATACATATTTTTTCCAGTAGCATATGGAGCACTCTCTATGACCGACCACATGATAAGGCACAAAATAAGCCTCCATAAATTTAAAAGAATAGATATTACACCTAGCATCTTTTCTGATCAACAATAGAATTAGACTTGAAATCAACAACAAAAAGAACTTATAAGAATATACAAATACAATGAAACTAAACAACATGCTCCTGAACAATTTTGAAACTACTAAAAAAATTTAAGATAGAAATTTTCAAATTTCTTGAAACAAATTAACTAACAATAAAAAAAACTTGGGAGCTTTCAATCTTGTGGACATAGAAAAGCAAGAACAGGAAAACTCAAAAGTAATAGATAAAAGAAATAATAAATATCAGAACAAAAACTAAATGAATCAAGAACCAAAGCGCAATACAAAACAATCAATGAAACATTGTGTTTTAAGAAGATACACAAAATGGTCAAATAATTAGTTAGACTAAAGAAACTATAGTGTACCCGGATATTAACCTGAAGAAGAATGAAATTATTAACAAAAATTAACTCCAAAAGGATTAAATATTTAAATGTAAAGCCTAGGACCAGCAGTTAGTTTAATGGCTATGTCGCTGGACTCCCATGTAGTCGACTGAGGTTTGAGTCCCAGACCCAGTAGCTAAAACTCACGCCAGGTGTGTGTGCATGCATGCCCAAGA